AAAATGTTGCTCATTCTACAATATTTTTGCACACGTAAACATTTTTTTTTTTTGCTACGCGTATTTCATTTTGGTTGGTGTCAAATAGAGAAGGCGATTGATAGCAATGATAAGTTACCTTCCTATTCGTCTTTCCACGTCTCGTTGAACATGACTTGATTTACAAATGAGCTGATTAAGAAATGTTGTCTTGACGTTTTGGCAGGTTCAGTTACAAATCGTAGTGGAAGATCAAGGCTCGTGTTTCCTCCTCCCCAGCCACTTATCGCTTCAAACGAAATCAAATTCAACGAGATAAGGCGGATAAACGAAATAAATGATCGCGCGCCTCTTTCACCGATATACATTGAATTGATAGCTTCCATTTTGTCGAAAAGTTCAGGACTTTTTTTTTTCATCCTGATGCTTAACATTTGTTGTGTATTATCAGGCGTGCACTCAGACAATATGGCGGGCAGATAGGTCTGTGCCGACGACTGCAATCTGATAGGGCACTCTATCATGAATACGGGTCTTGCTTTTCGGGATAGGCATCTCGGCTGACAGTATAGCTCCTAGGAAAAATAAATTATAGCAACACTTTTAGATTCTTGTCCATTAGAGCGAGCTGGTGTCGAGTTCGCGCCTTCATTTCCACTCCTGATCTGGTGACCTCGCACAAGTACCAACCAGGGTGACCACACACATTTTTATTTCTCGTTAAAAAGATGTCTGCACTTGAAGGTTAATTAATGAGGTACCTATAACTTGAGAGATATTGTTAGGTAACTTTCAATTCTCTTCATGCATTATTTCCAATTATAAGCTAATAAAAACTAGACAAACAATGGATGCACAATTTGAATGGAATAGAATCACAAATAAATCATGAAATTGTCATAAGACAAAAATCAGCAAATTTGGATTGCTTGTTCGTATTTGCAGATGTTCATGAAGCATCACAAATACGTACTAAAAAAAATCCTCTCATTTGGTCATTCTCATCCTTGATCAAATTAATTTTTCCTATTCCTGGGACAAGTAATAATAAAATTATCCAAATAAAGTAAAACCTAAAATTAAACCAGTATATTTAGCGGTGAAAAACTAACAATTTCGCGATGCAAGAGTGAAATTGTGAAATGTGTTTTGGATTTTTAACGTAACTTTAACATTTTTTTTTAGTCATATCGCTACCAGGCCGACCATTCCTAACACAGCCTCTTAATGCTGAGCGCCAATTAAGCGAGGCAAACTGCTAGTACCAATTGTTTAGGTGTGACTCGGCCGGGGTTTGAACCCGCGACTTCTCGCATTAGAGGCGGAGGCTCTAACCACTAGACCATCGGAGCAGCGAAATCGTGAAATTAGCTTTCGTCAAAATGATCACATTTGTTATTAGATTATATAGTTTATCGTCCTTAAATCTGTAATCGCTAAATGCCACTTGTCAAAATTTAAAACCCCTAATTATTTCTACATTTTATGCTTGCGAATAAAATCGAGCTATCGGTAAATACCTTTTCATTTTTTTTTCTTCCCGCGTGATGATTAAGCAAAAATGAAGGTGACTTGTGGACAGGAATGGCTAGATGAAGTTTAGTACTGGGGCGGACTCAGATATGTCATTTAGGATCCGAGGATTAATGAAGAAGGCGAGGGGTCTGTAGCATGTAAGCCGTAAAAGGGTGTCCAGAGCATACTTTTAACATTAATTTTTTAAAGAAAACTTACTCTCGGAAACGTTCCATTTCATTCGCGCTCATGTTTTTCTTCACACGCTGCTTTGTCTCACTCCCATCGTACTAAATAGCTGTGCAAAAAAAGCAATCGTTTTCATTCCTCTCCGTAGAAACGCTGATTGAAGGCAAACGAAATATTCTAAGCAAAAATGAAGGTGACTTGTGGACAGGAATGGCTAGATGAAGTTTAGTACTGGGGCGGACTCAGATATGTCATTTAGGATCCGAGGATTAATGAAGAAGGCGAGGGGTCTGTAGCATGTAAGCCGTAAAAGGGTGTCCAGAGCATAATTTTAACATTAATTTTTTAAAGAAAACTTACTCTCGGAAACGTTCCATTTCATTCGCGCTCATGTTTTTCTTCACACGCTGCTTTGTCTCACTCCCATCGTACTAAATAGCTGTGCAAAAAAAAGCAATCGTTTTCATTCCTCTCCGTAGAAACGCTGATTGAAGGCAAACGAAATATTCTATCATTAAATCAAGTTTAACTCGCGTTCAAGTTAATAAATGAAGTTTAACATATTTACAAGCATAATTGTTACAAAAATTGTATTTTATTTCAACAACACAAATTCTTGGGCAGTCGAAGCTATTGTGACGTTGAACTGAAAAAAAGTTATCTTTTTGATGGTTGGTTGGATGCTTGCTTTTTAACAAAACTTTCAAAACATTACTGGCTATATCATGCATAAGAAATGGACAAAGTAATGAGAATAGTTTGCTCTAGAGAAAAACTGAAAAAAGTTTAATCAGACAAGCTCAACATTAGGACAACAAATAAAACACAATTCTACTCATGTACGAAATTACGAATAATACACTGCTAATTAACTGGTGTATATTTACATAATAAATAGATAAATAAATAAATAAATAACACGAAACCGATATTTCATGTTGTCACGATCCAATTCATATTGGCAGAGTAAGAATTGTTTAACTTTCTTTTCAACAAAAACATGCACCCGTAATAGTTTTCAAACCTTAAAAAAGTATTTTAAGTTTTTGTTGCCCCTCTCTCTCTCTCTCTCTCTCTCTCTCTCTCTCTCTCTCTCTCTCTCTCTCTCTCTCTCTCTCTCTCTCTCGTGAAATGAAAGTACTTTCGAAAGAATGAAAACTCGAATGACCATTCGAAATTCTTGGAATGTTTCGTTGATTGGCAACAAAATTTGTTCAGGTTTGCTGTAAATAATTTACGGATTTGCAATATTCATGCATCAAGATTTGTACGGATTTGTGCATTATTCATGCAACAAGATTTGTACGGACTTGTGCATTATTCATGCAACAAGATTTGTACGGACTTGTGCGTTATTCATGCATCAAGATTTGTACGGACTTGTGCATTATTCATGCATCAAGATTTGTATGGACTTGTGCATTATTCATGCATCAAGATTTGTACGGACTTGTGCATTATTCATGCATCAAGATTTGTCTGTTCTGCCTTGCTGTAAACATTGCTACGGACTTGTGCATTAATGATCCAGGAATATGGCTAGAGATTGTAAAAATTTCAAGGAATGATGATGTATGGTCTTCGACTGGTTCTATCAAGCCTGTACCATGTAAAATCTGATGGGTGTTTATATTTCCAAAGAACAGAGAGTCGTTCTCTGCGGGTGTAGGATTATGCTATGTCAATGCTTTTGCCCGGACCACCAATAAATAAGCTTGAGAAATCAAACCCATATCAGTATCTCTGAGACGAGGTCTTATCTACAAAACTAACAAATTTCTTTCACTGATAACGAACATTTCTCCGCGTTTGCCTGTTTTTGTATCCTTTGATCTATAGGAGATCAACAACATCAAAAATTTTAAATGCCGGATTTTGTTGCAGATGCTACATCAATTATGTGATGATATATCGTCATACCGCATGTTGCTGCAACAGTAAACGAATATCAGATAAACGAACAAACATCTCGTGTATTTATCTGTAATTTGAGTAATTGAATAAAACTTAGAAGAAAAAAAAATAGAAATTGTACACGACTTAAATACTTGGTAAAAACTTGCAAGTCTTTCCTATTTACGCGAACTTACTATAAACACTCTCAATAAAAAATGGCGTATACCATTAATATTCGCGCACGTTAATCTTAACGTAAAAACTTACATGACCGGGATATGAAAATTATGTTACTGTTGTCTACTTGTGATATAGTAATTAAGAATTCACACAATATCTTGGACAACTAGTATTATGGTATTAAACGTGAGTTATCAAAGGCAGGGCGTGAAAATTTAACAGATGACTATATAATGTTGGTGCTGTTGCCAACGGCGACATGGCCATGCTTTACAACAATCTCCATCCTGGAATTGAGACAAACAATCCAACAAGCAATACAGCCGTATATCATTAAAGCTTACTAAAAAGATCAATTACTAATTAAAGATATAAAAATGGGGATCTGACCGTAGATGGACCAAAATGAAAGCTAAAGTTGACCGTAGATGGACCAAATACAAGCTAAAGTCAGAAGGGAACGTTGGTGGGTATAAATCTAGTTGATACAACAAAAAACCTTACTGTAAAATTCAAAGATCATCCTTGTAAACATGTAAGGAAAATCCTTCAACATATTCGGTCAAAAATGAAAAAAAATTGAAACAATTTTTAAAGTTAGAATTTCAAATTTACTATTATACAAACGATGTTATTCACAACATTAAATTCCACCAAGAATGGTATGAACTACTGTCATATCAAGATTTTTTAAAAAAAAAAATATAAAACGGAGGACTGCAGGATAAGCTTTCTATCAGTTGCAAATCAAGGCAGTTTAACACGGATAGAGTACCGTTTTCTATTAAAATAAAAATGGATTCTATTAATAACAATTCCCTGGAAGAGATTGACACTCAACTTTCGAAATAAATTTCCAGGAATTCAAGATAAGACCATTTCTTCCTTTTAACTGTCGAGTATTGAAACAAACTCATATATTCCTTAAGAAAATCCAATGTATAAAATGTTGGGAAAAAATTGTTTTTTTTTTTTTACATATCTGAATTAATATGTCCATAACATAATCACATCAGATTATGATTTGTAACTTATCTTTAACAATTTTTCGGTCATATCGCTACGATGTCTGCATTGTGGCAGTTTATAATGATGTCTAGCATTGGGACATCATGCCGAAGACATAGCATGATGTCCCACCCAGTCACATTATTCTGACACCAGGCCAACCAGTCCTAACACTAACCACTTAATGCTGAGCGCCAAGCGAGGCAGCTGTTAGTACCATTTTTGTAAGTCTCTGTTATGACTCGACCGGGAATTAAACCTACGACCTCCCCCATCCGAGGCGGACGCTCTAACTACTAGGCCACCGTAACGGTTCATAACATACCTGTAACTGCAGACAAATGTCTTTTCATAGTCATTTACTCTAAACTAAATCTTACTGATATAAAAAATACATTCTTTTTAGTGTTTGTTATCGTGCCCACAATCCAGCACAGCAAAATAAATAAATAAACGAATAAAACTTATCACCAGTTTTCACTATCAATTTATCCACTGCATCAAAATACAAAGCCTGGTCCAAATTAACTTGTATATGTACAATATACATAAGAGAAGTGAAGTAAATTATTCTAGTGGAATAATAATAATAATAATAATAATAATAATAATAATAATAATAATAATAATAATAATAATAATAATAATAATAATAAAAATAACGCTGTTTTTTTTTAAAGTGAAAAACCAATTTTAGTAAGATTATCTATCAGGAGTATTAATAACAAGATTTGTATGATGGTCACTATACTGGATGTTAGATAAGGACTATTTTAAAATAAAAACCAAATAGATCTTGTAAGGAGTGTTTTGGTTAATATTCTACGGCTATACGACATATGTTAATGCGAGCACCGAAAACACGACCTTCAAGATGGCTGCCATGGTATCAGATAAGCACAGTTTCATTTAGGACCAACAAGTTATTATAAGTCATTTAGTACAAAAAAATCTTATGTTGATATGACAATGGATTAAAGGAGTGTATTGATAACAAACGTTTCATATTTGATGTAAGATGCACACCATTTTTATTTAAGACTAACCAGACATCATAAGAAGTCTTTTAGTGAAAACCCAATGTCGATATTACCATCCATTTAGAAGCAGTGATGCCATAGTGTCCATATTAGACTGGCACCATTTTCATTAGGATATCTTTTGTCTAAAATCCCTTTGGATGTCCAAGCAGTACCATTTTCATTTAGGACCAAATAGGCCTTGAGATGAATGCCTATGCAAAGTTTTATGGCAATCCTTCAGAAGTCAGAAGTTTAGGAGTAATGATAGCAAACCTGTGCGGATGTCATATTGTTGATAGACAACAGACCTTCCGATCAGTTTGGGTCTATGACCATAAGAGCTAATAAAAACAATACTAATACTAATAATAATAATAGTGATGATAATCTTACCATAAAAAAAATAATTAATAATCATAGGATTACCATGATACTCTAATGCCAAAGTAAAAGAACAATAATAAAAGTAGGATTTGGTCTGTCGTCATAACCTTTAAAGGCTTGTCAGAATATTTAAGCATTTATTAACTACAAGAAAAATAGGGTAATATAACCTATATTTCTGAAAATGGGCACTTTCAGAGAAACAATTTACACAAGAGGTGGAACAAAATGATTAGGAAAGTCCAGACGGACATAAAACAACAACAAACAAACAAAAAAAAAAAAACATAAGGGACATAACTCAAATTCTAATTCTGAGTGGAAAAAGTGGTTACCTCTCCTAAATATTGTTTGACAACTCGTCTGTAGCACTTACAACCGAGCATAATCTTTCTTTTTTTTTATATAGTAAATGCTCATCAAGGATAATTGCTTAAGTGTTTCTCTCAAAATAGATTAATGTTTTCTGTTGAGAGATAAAGAAAAGAAAATGGTTTTTTTAAAAATTAAGCTGATATGTACATGTATTTAGAGGGATATTGGTATATTTTTGTGACAATAATAGCAACATGATTATTATCTCAAAAATATCTTTAATCCTGTTTAATTTTGTATTGTCTGAACCCTTCAAGCCATACATGTTCACAGAACTTCGATTTGGTCCAACTGTGGCTCCAAACATCAAACCTGAATTTGTCTAAAGTACTTTATTCTTAGCAGCTATTATAATATAGAAAATGAATTTTATCAAACTAGACAATACAAGTTTCTAAAAGTGCAATGAATGAATTACCAAATACATAAAATGTAAAAAAAAGTTATCAGCTCTTTTTTTTATAATTTACCTCTTAAGTTCAAGAAGTGAAAATGAGCAAGTAGAGCTAGCACTTTTTTGAAAGGTGCACATCTGGAGTAAGGTTAAGCTGTATACTCTATAACCCATATTACACCCATCAATCATTCACCAAAATCAAGGGAATTAAAGGTTCTTTGAACAATACCTAAGATATACAAAACCTTTTTAAATAGCGAGTATAACTAGTGAGAAAACATGAGGAAATTCATTTCCTTTAAAATACTAACCCCTTGCTAGATATGAAACTGTAAAGCACCACCATGATGCTTGCTTACATTAAAAAGGTCTTCTATTTTTAGCAAATGTAGCCATATTTGATTGCTGATTGGAATTGTTTGTACAAATTGAAAAGTCCGCATTTCATGAGATTTTGCTAAATGTTGCTTAATAGTGTTCAGCAAAAGTAGTTTAAATGTTTTTTATTGTTTTAATGACAGTCATATTTGATAGCTGGATAACATCATGTGTAATTTATTGGAAGCCCGTCAATCTATGATAATATTTAATTTGATCAAATTGTGTTCTGTGGTTTTGAAGTTGTTTAAAGTTATTCTGCAACAATATTTAAATGACAGATCTGCAGAAGTTAAACAAATTTGTAGCCATATTTAATTGCAGATTGGAATCATTTGTACAAATATAAAAACTGTAGGACTTTTGCTAAATGTTAACAGTTGGATGAAAAAATAGTGGGAAGTTTTTTCTATTTTACTATTGGCAGTCATAGCTGGATAGCATCATTTGTAGTTTAGCAGAAGCCCTTCAATCTAGGATACCATTTGTTTAATTTTGACAATGTGTTCTGAGGTTTTCAAGTTGTTCAAGGTTAATCTGCAGCAATATTTCGACTGATTTACAAATGTTACACAAATCTTAAAGGTTTTCATGAAAGGATACTTTCTTTAAAACATGCAAAATAAGTTTTATTTATAGTAACATTGACCATATTTGATGGTGGATGAGCACCACTTGTAAAGAACAAATTGCCATGTGCATAAGTATGTATTCTGTCAAATTTCAACAAATTCTGCTCAGTGTGTTTTGAGAAGAAATTAATTTATGGATTTTAATCCTTTAGAAATGACAGTAATATTTGATGGCAAATTAACACAGGCCTGAAAGGCCATCATAACAGAATGTTCTCAGCCAAATTTAGTTGCAACTAGTCATGTTTTTGAGAAGTTGACAAGAATGAAATGAAAGTTGATGCATGACAGACTGCACACACTGGATGTTGGGCCACAATAGAATTTCACCATTGTCTTGTGGCCTGGTGAGTTACAATCAGGTTTACAGAGGTCACATAAAAGCGATCAATAGGAATTGTACATATGCTAAAACTCAGGTAGCTTGCTATTCTGTTACTAAATACCTTCAATCCTTTTTCTGGATATGTTGTTTAAGGAAAAAAAGCAGTTTCTTTCTTTGTTATAAATACAATGACATTGCTATAATCCAAGTGTTACATATTACCTTTAGGATCCGACTCATTTTTCTTAAAGGTTACTAACAAAATTAAGAACCTTTTGTAATGACTTTCTGTGCATATTGGGCCATGAATAGATTTGAAATAATGTTGCTATGCAAACAAAACAGTTCCCTAAGCAAAAGTTCTTTCCAAAAAGCATGTAATCTACCATTTCTTTTTTTTTTACAAACCATGTGCATGCCTTCTATGTTATAAATGATCTGCAATGCCATTCTTACGTTCTAAAAGGATCATCCTTCTAATTGAAGCTAATATTCAGAGGTGGGTGCAGAATTTTAGTAAATATTTATAAACCATAAAGAATATATATATACCATTATCTGTGTATGATTTAACACCTAACAAGAATAATGATTCTTTTTTAAATAATCAATTATATTTTTCTTTATTATGATCTCCAGCAATTGATAAGCCCTGCCTTCTTGAATTTCTTTAGTTTATGTCTAATGCCACTACTTTTTTGATGTTCATAGAGAGTTAATTTTGAAATATTTGCAAGTTAAGTTTGCATCATGTTTGCTTACATCAATGAGGGAAATACAATCCGATTGTGTTTACAGTGTATAATAAATAATGCCGTGAAGAATAAAAAGGAATTCAAATTTAAAACTTAAAATATCAAAGTAAAATTTAACTTTAACATTCCGAATTCTCCTTAAAGTTACAGTTTTACATGTACATTAAAATACTTTCTAGCTTTGGAAAGTTCAAGATGACTTGATTATTTGGACAGGACTGACTAGACATGCTTTAGATGCCATGTTTTGAATGAAACTGACTTATCCAAAAACTGAAAGAAAATAACACCCTCTTCCTTTGAAATTCCAATTTAAATGTATAACCTATTGTAGATTTTCAACAGGAATTTAGCTTACTTACTTTTCATAAAATCTGAGGAAGTTGTCACTGTTACTTAAAATTTAGGGTGAAGAATCACCTAAAACAAAAGCTATTGCTGAATTACAGTGACACACAATCGGGATGGACCATGATACATCAGAGAAGTAAAATATAAACTGGGTGAATTAAACTGAAGTTTAAGATGAGATGTTTCAAAGTCAAGCTATTATATTTTTTTTAGTTTACAACTTTACAATGTCAGAATTGCAGTCACTGTCTCTTTCTATCACCCACCCCAACCACATACCATGGTCAACATAGGCTACAAACACAAAAATTCACATTTTCACAAATGTTGTTGAAAAAAAAAAGGTCTAAATTTTATGCAGCCACTTCATTTGCCCTTTGTTAAGAAGACCTGTGCTGGAATTTCTGTTGCTGAAACAACATCAACTGTTTCATTTTTAGTTGAACAAGAGATATATACTTTGTTCAATGTGCAGAGTTGATCCCAAGTCATACCAAAGAGTAAAAAGAATCAGAATTAGGAGGTTAGTGCAAGGACTGGCTTGCCTAATATCAGGATGAAACAGAGTGAGGCATGATGAAGCATGTCTGCAGCATGATGTCGCAGTGCAAAACATCACTATAAACTTCCATACTGCAGACATCATAGCGATATGACTCAAACTATTATAACTACATTAAAAATATAAAAAA